GAGGAAATAAAAATCCAGTAGCTGGTTTTATTTTTCTTGAAATTTTTGTTCATTGATTTTATTGCACTATTTTACCTGAGTAATTAGAATTGAGAGACCATTATGGACTTGTGAAGGGCAACACTGAATACTGGTTTTGTGAGATGAAATTTCTTCATTTATAAAGTATATTAGCACTTTTAAATTCTAGCCATTGAAGAATAAGAGAGTTTACAAGAAATTTTCAAAGGAAGATATCAGATAAAAGATGAAATGCCTCTCTCTTGTCTTAACTATGCAAACAGATTTCTCACTTAGGCCTCTATATTTTTTATTCTAAAAGAAATGACCCAACCTAGTATCAAAGTGCATTTGTCTTCACTTGAATTTCTCTAACATATTAAGATTTTTTAATACTTTTTCTGATGTTAAACTTAGTATTGCCACTGAATGGTTGGAATCTAATTGGAAATTCAAATAGTGAAGTAGAAGATTGTAAATGAACTATTCATTCACAAAGCACAGGAACAAATCTGTACAGACACATGCCTAGAACCCCGACCAGGGGTATTCTATTTGCTACCCAAGATCCATAAACCTGGATATCCTGGACGCCCCATCATCTCAGGCATTGGCACCCTAACATCAGGCTTGTCTGGTTATGTAGACTCTCTCCTCAGACCCTACGCTACCAGCACTCCCAGCTATCTTCGAGACACCACTGACTTCCTGAGGAAACTACAATCCATCGGTGATCTTCCAGAAAACACCATCCTGGCCACTAGGGATATAGAAGCCCTCTACACAAAAAAGCGACACAAAGATGTAATATAAGCAAAAAGAAACGTGAAACCAGACAATGTCACAGCTAACCTGGTGGCTGAACTTTGCGATTTTGTCCTCACCCGCACCCATTTCAAATTTGGGGACAATAGATTCCTTCAAGACAGCGGCCCTGCTAGGGCTACCCACATGGCCCCACAACATGCCAACATTTTTATGGCTGACTTAGAACAACGCTTCCTTAGATGACGTCCCCTAACGCCCCTACTCTACTTGCGCTTCATTGATTACTGC